GTCGCCGTCGTCTGGCGCCTAAGGAAAAAGTTGCAAACTTGCATCGTAGAGACCACATTGCGTTTCACGTTGCATCACATGTACATATATGTGTTGGAACAGACGCATCTCAGCCACTTTTTGTTCAACTGTGAAACGGTCTCAATCAACTTTCAATCTAAGTAGGTAAGTAAAGAAACTCTAGCGATTACATTTCCTTTTTCATTTTAAATTAACTATTAACTTGAAATTCTGAATTTGTTTGCAACGATCGATAAAATCACATACGCATTGTTTAACGTTATCAGAAAAAAATGCAATTGACCGCATTTCGCGATTCAGTTACTTCCTATATCGAATTTTACCAGGGTAAACTTTTAAAGAAAAGGAGCAGCTGCATCACGCTCCCCTCGCTTTAATCATTGTCCTTCTATAGGGTCGTCGAAAAAAGGTAGTCGTGTAAATAAAGGAATGCATCCAGGTATCCATGCTTGAATTCTGTCCACGTTAAAGATAGTAGTCGAGAACGCAAACAATAACTAAATATGAATTTAGATAATGAACAATTTCAGAAGAATCATTAAAGTAAAACTAGTCTGACGTATTAAGTTATTAACGGCATAGTGTCACTTATCATTAGCCCTGTCCGCATGTATTATTGGCAACATTTTATGCCGTGTCATGTCTCAGTTGCTACCCCTTTCATTGTAAACTGTCTGTGATGTCGTACCAATTTCAACGTAGAGATATTGGCAAAACAATTTGTTCGTCTGGTGAAAGCATACGGGTGAGCAATGTTAACTAACAACGCACAATGCGTACAATATTTGTGCAATGCGGATTTGATCAGAGCAGCACGATGACGCCACCACAGTCCAATGTATCTGTTAATTTAAATTCATTGATTTATTCAGAATTTATGAAATTGAGTTCCGCCTTAATGATCACTTAGTTCTTCACTCAGTGCTAATCATTCATATTAGACGTTAAATCAATTAGAACTTTATTGCCACGACTAGTTACTATGAAAAAATACAATATACGATCATAAGATAATCCATGAAAAATAAGCTAGAAATAACGAAAACTACTATGTGATTTATTTTAAAATTCTCCCAATATGAGAACATAATAATAAAATAGAATATTGATTTACACTAAACTTTCGGTGTTGTTTTATGCTGTGAATTTATTTTGGTATTGGAAATGTAATAGGCTATTAGTAAGTAGGGTGAGATTTTCCTATTAGTGGGGGGACACTTCTATAAGCAAGAAAATCGGATCAAATTCACTTGCATTAGGTTTCGGTTTATCTCTCAATGATTGTAACATAAGTACAGGAATATTCGGAATAAACAAACCAAAGTCGAGAGCATGCTTCATGCCATTGAACACCAACGCAATTTGTGATGCTAATCACTTAATAAACTAACTTTGCCATTTATGTCGACTAATAAATCACGATTAAGGTAGTTTTGCACGTTAACAAGTCATAATACGTTTTATTATTGTTGACATATGATCTTGACAGTCACGCATGCAAAACGCTTATGTAGCAATTATTCTTAAAACATATCTACTTGGCTTTGCATCTTATACTCTCACGGAAGGTCATCATCGAGTTTATTCCGTCAAGATCAGGGCTACGCGGTCACCGGCCGAGCGTGCTCCACGCCTCACTGATCGGTTAGTTCGCGTCAACAGTTTTTTATTCTCTCCCTTGGTCGTCTTTGTTGATGATGTCATACTCTTATCTTAAAACACAATTACTTATTCGGTTGGATAGTTCAAGGCACTACCAAGTTTATGTTACAATAATAACAATCGCATGTTTGACGTTATTTAAAATGATCTCTCTTTATGTGTTATACTGTTACCTGATTTTATTTGGATCTGTTTACAATAATTTGGGTTAATAATAATGTGTAAGTATATACATACATATGTATATTATAATATATTATATATATATGTACATTATAATGTGTAAGAACTCGAGGGTGTCGTTTACTAAAGAAGAGTTAATACAATTTAATTATGTATTTTGAGTCTAGCAACTAGCCTTCATGAATGCATTTAGATGTCCTACAAACCACTATGTCCTTGAACGCTTAGCATAAACGTGACTATTTAAAATAAAACACGATATGCTTTGGCCGTTGTCTAGGAGTTGTCTTAAAGAAATTTAATAAGCCAAGTGTGTTTGTTGTAGCAGACTTGGAAGTCGTACTCGCGAGGGAGGCGTCGCGCGGGCGCGTATCGATCGCGCCACTACCGCGCGGCCTGCATACGAATACGAGAATCGCCCTCCGTTCAGCCCCTTATCAACCACTTCCACCTACTAGAATCCAAGCCCTTCGTTAGTGTTGTGACCCGTCTGATTATTTTTTTAACTGTATGTTTGCCGGACCTGACTACCTGTTAAACTTTCAGTAATCTATAATAATAATAAAGCAATTAAAAAGGGGTCGAAAATGATAAAAATATGAAACTCATATAAAACAGCAAGCTTTCCCAGTTTACTCTCGACGCGACAAACATACCCTCATTTCCCACAAATTGAACGACAATGTTTACCTAGACCTAAGGATGTGGTCATAGGTTTAGAGATACTTTAAGCAACCCTAAATCAAGTATAACCCTAAATCAGATTCATTACCAGCAAATACGAGTATTGGTGATGAAACTGCATACTCTTTTCTGCTAACCTGTTCTTGTTGTCTAAACATAGCTATAAATATTGGCCCATTTTTAGTTTCTGATTATGTTAAAGACACGAAAAATTGGCGACGGTAGCCATAATACGTTATCTAAACTTTAAAACTAGTTCTATTACACAGGTTTTGAACATAAAGTTAAAATAAAAAATATAGGTATACCCAATATGTACAATTTGCATAATTTCCTTTTTTTATATTATTTGCTATTTTAAATGGACCTTCCTTTTTAAACGATTTTGATGTAAAGCATTATCTATTGTAACAGTGCGATTTTGCTAAATTAACTCCCATCGTCGTTAATTACCTTTAGGAAAATATTTTCTGTTCTCTCGCAGTCACGGTTACTTCCTTGTTTGGGCTATTTAGCTGATTATGTTTTGAAGATGGTTCCCACCCCAAAAATTGAAGCAATTTTCCAACCGAAAACTTGCCTACTTATTGCGTCGCAAAATGTCTCCGTGACGCCTAAAGCCCGTCTAACTAGGGCAACCAAGCATGGGGTCCAATAGATTTATACTCGTGTAAATTTCATAACTGCGGTTTTGAATTCAGAATATTAAATTCAGCTTATTTTATTCCGTAAACACATTCTGACTATAAATCTGTGTTATGGAAAATGGATTTTATGCATACATTAATTTCCGCCAATGTTCATTCGCGAAGTCCTTGTTTAAAAATGATTAAAATCAGTAGGAGAATCAATATAGATAATTAAACATAATTACAGTCGTTCATTGAACTTTGTCATTAAATGAATAAAGTGTAAAGCATGACCAGAAGCAAGTTAATCCAGCCAACGGAAACGGACAACTTACAACGGAGGCGACTCGATAAAGGCAATTTTGCCAGTCTTCTCCAGGGGCGGCGTCTTATTAACAATCGCCTTCCAATGATCGATTTCTATCTAACTACAAATTAACTTAGTGATGTACACTTCCTGAGATCTATTATTATAAGAAAAAAACATTCTAAATGAAAGAGTGGAGACTTGTCAACCTTTCAAGCCAGTGCTATCTACAGTGATTGAAATAGGCAGAGAGAAATTAGATGTTTATTTTAGTGTTTCGATTATCTCGCCATGACGTGACGTTCGAATGAACTTACTAGATCAATACTATCGACGCCAATCGGTCGCTAACAAACAACAGCTATAGTTAGTAATCAAAATAATTAACTTATTTTCTATGCTGGTTGCCTCATCATCCTCTTCATAATTATTTTTCTTCGCATGTCATTATGTGAAGGCTGTAGAATCCATTTGTATTAAAAATAGGAGCATTGTAAAAAACCTAGTAAATAATTCTATTCATTCGCTCTAAAATGCTATTATGTATTTTTCCATAAAATGTATTTGTCCGGGCTTTAGACACAATGTAAATTCCGGCAATTGTGTTGGTATATTATTTGTATTGATACTCGTACGTAGGTAAACGTAAAACTACAGCTGTGGCTTGCTATTTCAATACTAACAGTTACAATGCACCTTCGGACCCTTCAGTGTCTTTTTCCCCAGCAGCTGTTGTCGCGATTTGCACTGATAAGACTATTAAGGCCTGATGATAGCCGTTTATAACATATTAAATTTAATGCAAGCTATATTTACCAACTATTTGTTTATTCATATTAGAATCACTTATACACATGCAAAAACGTTAATATGGTAATTTCTATCCTTAGCATTAAAAACATTTATTGTACAACTTTTTATCAAACCGTCCGACCGCCGGTTGATGATGTCTTTTTTGTATGTGCGGAATTCTAATAGGCAAAAACTGTAGAAGACTTTAAATTATACTAGACGTAACTTAACTCAACGATACTGTTTAGCGAGAATTAAGCCATTTTTCTTTTGTTCTAAATGTGTATCTTTTAAATTTTATGAAAGTACATCAACAGCATTCCTCAGAACATTCTTTATACAATTTGGACATTGTTCTGTCGATTAAGCTTACGATTGCATAACTGGTGTATCTGAGTAAACCGGTTTATAAGAAACGTGTCAGGAGAGTCTCTTCTGAGTGCTCACGTACCGGGAAACGCATCAAGAGTTTGAAATAAATGTCCCTACTATATAAATTCTAAATGGTCAAACGAAATGGTATATATGGCACCACACGTAAAAAATAAAATAAAAGAAAGCAATGTTATTATTTCAAGAGGGTAAGACTAATAAATCTGGCAGAAGCTCGGTAATAAACAAAAAAATTAGTAAACAATTTAACTTTGATTAAAAAAAAACACTTTATTTATTAAATATTTATTTTATTATAAATCCGCGTTGTATTAATGTCAGAAACTTACCTGTCAGAAAGATACAAATCGACGTCAATATATTCTAGAGGAGCAGTGAAGCCTCTAAGAAAATTCACAAAAAACGTAGATTTTCATACACAACACAGTAACTTTATTTCAACCACTTTTTAATTAATAATCAGGATAGAATGTCCACAGTTGTATAATTGATGACAGATAGAGAAATAACGCAACGGATAGAGTAGCACGGTAGTGGCACGGAGCTTAGAGATAGAGCACACCGCCGCAGTGCGGAGTCTCCGGTATACTGGCGGGACTGCGGGCGGAGGCCGGCAAGAGACCATGCTCGAATGACGCTCACAGCACCCCGCGGTCGCCGCGACGGTTGCGCCTCGCGTACCGCACCGCGCCGTGCAGCTCCGTGCTGCCGACCCTTGATGCAAAATCTGTATTAGGATTCGTTGATTATGCTAAATAACTTACTATTAAATAACATTGTAAACGTATTGTTTGATTGTGTATTGTTTTCACTTTGATTTTATTTGTTTAAAGAATTTTAAATATGCAATTGTTTTTGGAATAAATTGTTTACAATCGGCGAAGATAAATGAATTAAAATAAAACTTGTACTAAAAAATTGTAACTAACTTCTCGAAAAAAATTGGCTGATTTCGATTTAAAAAACCAATCGTCTGTTCTATAGTTGAAAATATACCTAATAGTTGGTGATTTTTTTAACATAAATAAATACGAACTTTGGCCTGACAATCAAAACCATGTGGGTAGTACATTGGCGCCAGAGCAAAGAGCTTAAGTATAAAATCTTTTAAGCGGTGTAGTATAATATTTGAGAAGTGGGCGGTGACTTCCGTTAGAATTTATTACGGATATTTAATCAATAAAACGTAGAAAGAATAGAATACACATCAACGAAGTGAGCAAGAGATGGTAATTTACAACAAATAATTATTACGTTGAAGGTTTTTTTTTCTCACGAATGAACCTTCCTACCTTGATTCGTCCCGTTTAAGTTGTTTTTAAATGGTATTTTTGCTTTAATTTTCTGGCCCAGGCCAGGCCACGCGCTGCATATTGATCTAATAACACTAATAGGTATAAATTTCGTCAGTGAATTCATTAAAAAAAAAACATTCAAAATGTGCGAAAACTAGATTAGGGTTTCGCTTTTAGTGTACTACGATACGGCTGAACATCGCCTGACTATTTTACGTGAAGCGACCGCCAGCAGACCTCTACAACCAATGTACTAAGCGAAATGGAAGTTCCGTAGATAGACTTTTGTGGGACTTTGAAGGCTCGAACTATCCGTATTGGTATTGGTTATGGAGTCCGATTTCCGCATTTAGACTCGAGAGTGGTACTTTATGCGTCTACTAGAGGTTGGCTAGGTGAGCCAACAAAGCTCCTTCGTCCCAGAAGTCTTCTGCGTCCCAGAAGCGCAGAAGCCTTCTGGGACGTTCACAGGCTTCTAGGAGCGAATTTGTACCAGGTATGGTACTTGCCCGTTGTGTGGCCACTCCATCGCATTCCAGGATTACGTGGGCGGCCGTTTCTTCTGCTTTCAGGCATCCTCCGCAAAAAGGACAGTCCGTCGCATTAATGGTGACGTCGCAAGTAAGTCGTGATGAGGCTTCAGTCAGCACCAGTTTGGACTGTCTGCAGCCGGGTGAGTTTTTTCACCTTCGGTTGTGTGCTTCACGAGTACGCTGTCTAGCCCAGGATCGAAGTTGGTTAAAAGGCAGTGGCAGGAGTGTGGTTGGGCCGGTGGCTGTAGTTGCCGAGTTCCTCCTTGCCACCCACAGAATTTGTAATAATAACACACTATAGTTCACCTAATCTAAGAGATACCGTTTGACGTTACATATTTGTCAAGTCGAAACAACTTTGTATATGTATGGCGTAACTCACACAATGTCAGGCACCTTTTCCATAAAACCATGGATTTATGTAGCTATTTTTATTATGTCACAAGATATACAATTCTTAATGACTAAATTTAAATCTTTGAAAGAAAGCAAAATAACCAATGTTTACAAAATAGATTATTTTTTCAAACTTCATTTCAAAGTCACGTGGTTAGGTCCTTTACCGTAGTGTTGCGGCTTTTCATGTTTTATTTATTTATTTTGGATGACCAACAAACGATACACATTTCTACAATAATTAAAAAAAAATATTATACAAATGCCTTGTGCACGCTCATACAGTTATAGGCAATCACAACTAACATAGGTAAAACTTGTACCATCCTAAAATAAAAAAATGAAGGCATAATAACAGAAAAATATAAAAGAAAATAAAAACTATTAGGTAAAAAAGAAGCTATATATTTTTTTATCAAAAACAACATCACTGACTATTCAAATCCATACCTAGGTGAATTTTTGCTCACCCAAGTTTAGAATTGGTTCTCGCAGGCAATCTGTACGGAACAAATATATTTACGCGTAATCTATCCTCTATGACGTCATTGTTCAGGCTTATTTACTTTCTTACTTTTCTCTTCTGCTTTGCATTAGTTGCTAAATGAATGGGAAAATTAAGCAAATGATCGCTTCAAAAAGAGAGAGAGAATGTGTAACATAATGTGAAGATCTACATGTTAGATGACACACAAATTACAACAAGCGCCCCGAAGCGCGTTCAATAAACATTCTCTTGACCATACATATTATATTATCTGCGTGCTACACTTCGCTGTGCCACATGTGCTTGCATTGAAATGACGATCAAAATTGACACGAAAAATAGATAGTAACAATTTTTGAAGCGAATGTATATCGAGTCAAAATTTGAGCTCAATCGGTGCAGAAGTTTTTGAGTTTTTGAAGCGTTTCAAACCAACTTAACATTTTTATACAAAAAGATTGTAAGGTCGATTAAAACTTCTTCGTAATTATAAAGACTAATATTTTATTAGAATAGTTATTAGGATGTAAACGTTTTAATCGTTGTAAAATATAAAAGGGTAAAACAAATACATTTACCTACTCGCAAATCAAATAGCTAAAATGCCTGGCACATTAATTACTTTGTCGCTCCTAAGCCGGTAAGCTGACACTTGACTGCCCCTTGCAAGATTTGGAACATACCAATCGGCTTTGAAATAAAATTATGAGCCCATTCTACATACCTATCTAAAGGCGTGTAAGAAATATATGGGTGATCTGATTTTCAAAGTTTTATGTAGCCAGGAATATCTATAGGTGTTTGATTAACTTTGCTGTTCAGAGTCAGTCATACAAGAGTTTAGTAGATTCACATATCAGTTGTATAGAATGAAACTCGATATGCGGCTTTACTAGTAAAGGCAATATGCGTATATATTTTGCATCATACCAAATTCTTTGATAATTTACGAAAAACATCTTAAATGAAATTATAATAAAATGCGGGAACTCTGGAAATTTGAAACATAAAAAATGCATATATTATTATGCAATTATTATTATATGATTCAACAATTCCAATTTATATGACTTAATTCCGCTTAAGCCTATCAATATATTATACCACTAGCTGAGACCCGCGGTGGTACCCGCGTTTGTTGTTATAACCGCGGGCAACGCCGCGGGTCGAAGCTAGTCTAAAAAAGTAGCTTTAGTTACTCCTTCTGTCATCAGCTATCTGCCAGTGAAAGTCCCGTCGAAATCGGTCCAGCCGTTCCTAAGATTACCCGGAACAAACAGACAGACAGACAGACAAAAATTGTAAAAAATGTTATTTTGGCATATGTACCGTGTAAACATACATATGCATTTAGTAAAAAGCGGTTATTTTAATATTACAAACAGACACTCCAATTTTATTTATTTGTATAGAAGATTATTTGTATAAATGTATAGAAGAGTATAGATTCATTATGTAAAACGACTACTCGACAAAAGATGGCAGTTCTAATAAAAAGAAAGTATGTACATCGTCTGAAAAAAAAAATTGAGTTCACATAAACCATTACCAGTCCCTTTTCAAACATCATATTGTTTACATGGATACCAAATTAATTTAAATTTTTGTTCATTCAGAACTAAGTACTATTTATAGATATTAGATATAATAAGAGTGTAGAGCGACATCTATATGTGACTATGTGTAATTATCAAAGACATGAAGCTAGTGTTGTACTAAATATGTTTATTTAGTATTTGTTTGTTTATTTAGTCTTTGTAGTAGTAGGAATTTTATTTTATTCTAAGTATATTTAGTTATTTTAATTCCATTATATACTAATATCGACATTTTGCAAATGTTTTTACTATTTGTTTAATGTAATAACTTAGATAACAAAACTTTTCTTTGCAATCATTATCATGCGCTTTAAAAATTATGCTTTTTTTCGTTTAGATTCCTCTGTTCTTAGATTGGTTAACACGATTGAATGAAAATAAACATTTTTACTTACTTTATAATATTAACCTGTGTTGCGGGAGACCAAATCTACGCACTTAGAAATGTAGTCCCAATTCAACTGAAGCGATCTACCGAAAAATAATAACTTGCTTTAGTGACGCGTTATTAATTTTTGACTTGAATGTCATAAATTTATAAAAAGCAACGATGAAAAGATAAAATTAAAATAATCGATATCTTTCTGTGAGTTGTGCGTACAACTCTATCACAGACTTGTTTTTGTTGCGTTTGTGAAGGCGATTGCTAATGTCAAGTAAACAGCGCGCGATTACAATTGGAATGTAAGCCTATTTGGAAACTATTTGGTTTAATAAATTAATGTAAACCTAACAAGGTAAGCTATATTGACGTTGTTATCTGGCTTTTATACTTTCTTATTTCTATCCTAGTTATACTTAAAACAAATAAGCAACTGTTTTAAACAAAATTATAACATAAGTAATAAAGTTTTCATTGATAATATTCCAGATGGCTCCTCCTCGCCGTATTTTAAGGCAACAATTGGAAATACTGATGGATTTCTTGGAAGAAAACAGAGATATGTCTAAAGGTTTGCTACCAGGTCCACCTCTTTCTCATCAAAAAACAAGGCAAAAGTGGGCTTCACTGGCTAAACAATTAAATGCGGTACAGTCAGGCGCTTTGAAAACACCGGATGGTTGGAAAAAGGTGAATATGCTCACACAAAAACCATAAAACATAGACATGCTTTATTTATTTAATCAGAGATCTGATGATATTTATTCCTTCAGTACTGGTTTGAATGGCGTCACAAATGTAGGAAAAAAGCTGCTAATGCCCGGAGACTACAGTCTGGGTCTGATAGTGGTCCAAACAGATTTGTACCACTGAATGATTTAGAAGTCAGAGTCCTAGAACTAAGTGGAAAAGGGAATGTTGATGTGACTGCCTCATCATCACATCAATTTGATGATTTTATTGCTGAAGACTCAGATTCTGAACCACTTGAAAATATTAAGATGAAAGCAGCCCCAGCAGTGAAACTCAGACAGTCAGTTTCTAGTGCCCCTAGATCTCCAACAGGTAGTTACAATTTTATATTATGTTAAACTATTACCTAGTTATTTTTTAAACTTAAATTCAGTTTTTTACTTGCCTTATTTTTTATATATGTAGTTTTTAATTTGCTTATATACCTTAAGAAACTATGAAAACAGAGTAAAATTTAATTATGGTTACAATTTAATAAGTGAAGTGTATATTAACCATATATATAAAAAGTGGTATTTCCTTTGTCTATAGTAGTACTCTCAGCGTACCACAGACTTATGTCTATAACTTTATCTACAGCACTTGATTGTGTAAGAAACATGTAAGAAATATTATACTAATTAACTTAATTTCTATTTAAGCAATTAAGAGCCCAAAAAGGTAGAGTAACATTTAATAGTAAATACTATGTTATTAATAAAAATATAATACAATATTAGTCTAATGAAAAACAGATAATTAAATAAAAATTAATGTCTATAATTTTAGATGACAACCTACGTAATATATCACCACCACCAAAATGGGCACTAGACTTTGAAGAGCGAAGGATTGCAGCAGAGGAACGAATGGCAGAAGCGTTAGAATCAATTGCATCAATTATGAGAACACAAGAGGAACGTAGAGGATTACTTGAGGAAAGAATAGCAGATGCACTGAGTGCTATTGCTGGGACAGTTCAGGACTTGAATAGTGGAGTACAGGATGCGTTAACACATTCACAACAAATACATCCATCACAAGCAAACGGGTCTGAATTAAAGACTGATGTGTTCTTATAATAAGTACTGACTTAATGTTATAAGTTTAAGACAGGAATGAAGCAGGCAACACACTTCTGACGCTTGACACAAATCACACCAAAATTTATGCTGCGAAAGGTCCCTTCGCTTACTGATGAAGGACCTCTGTACTAAACATAAGTATGAGCAAACATGTTAGCATTAACTATAAATATGAACGTATCTCGGCAGTGACTGTTCTAAAAACTTTTAGCATAACTTTTTGAAAAGGATTTTAATGTTATTTATTGGTCTGGAAAATAATAGACAAATTTAAATCGGCATAGATGAGCTTATTTACTATAGTCACAGTGTCCATAATCTATGTTATTAACCAGTCGACGATTTTTTTCGTGCCTACCTAGACATTTATTGTTGGGGTCGGTCCTATCCGAGACACGTATTGGCGACATTTACGTAGTGTTTCCATTGCCATTTTGACGAGTTTTGTTTATAATTTGGCACGAAAATCACAGTATATCATGTGTACTAACTGCTAACTCCCTAAATGGTATATTAAAATGTAAAATATATGATTATAAATGTTAATATTTATACACAATTTGTAAGATATTTAGATATATGAGACAGAAGTAGATGGATACATAATACAGAGATGTACATATAAGCCGTAGAGATTAGTAGGCATTTGCAATGCCCTAGTATGACATAAAATCATTGTAAATAATTTATATTATTTATTTATAAAATAAAAAATACTTCATAAAAGTTCTTGTGTATTAAATCTATTAAGGAAAGTAGCATATTAAATGGACATCAAATGACTATCTTGATCCGAACAATGAATCATAGCTTTCCAGCACCACCATGCTTTTTGGTGATCATCACTCATGAGTAAGCTGCTTTATCACAGGGGGTTGAAATTTTTTTTTTTTGATAACACAACTGCCGCACTAAGAACCTGTGTCGAGAGGGACTTCACACAAATCCATCTCACGGGCACAAAGAACACCCAGACTCAGAACAACAATTTGTGGTTCACACAGTGTTGTTCCATGTGGGTATCGAACCCACAAGACTCAGCGCAGAAGAAAGCGGCGAGGTGACCGCTTAAACCACTACGCCATCCCTGCAGTAAATTTTTAATTTTTATTTGATCATGTCGTAAGCTGCACTAACGAGTAAAATATTAATGTCATGTTATTAATATAAAGCCATAATACGAGTAGGTAAATACCTTTTTTTTTTCCTTGCGGAAATCCCCTTTGGATACCACCTATCGGTAGCATGTCGACTCGATCCGACTAAAACCGCACGCCGTCTCGGGTACTGGAGAAAGGAAGTCCCTGGTGCCCCGACATACCTCGGACCATCTACAACAAGTAGACGACCCCCCCGTGTGGGAACCCCATGTTCCCTCTGCTCCGCTTCGCAACGCGCTCGCCGCCATCCCGGCCTGCTTCTGCTAGGGTGACAGATGGCCTCACCTGTCACCCCCAGGCCTGCGCTTATGGAGGACGGAGGTCGTTCTGCGACTTCCGGCGCCTGAGTCGCCTACGGTACCTGGCCCGATCCCGGGCCTGGCGGGCCGGGAGAGTTCTAAACCTCTCCCGGTCCCGCTCCGCCGTCTCCTTCGCGAGCATAACTTGCTCGCAGAAGGAGACGGCAGAGTTCCACGCACTATCGCTCCGCACGATAGCCGCAATCAGGCTATCGAGCGAGAGAACTCCCACTCCGATGGCCGCCACGAGGTCTCGCCTCTGCTCAACCCACGCCGGGCACTCTGCCAGCGTGTGGAGAGCCGTGTCCACGGTCTGGCCATCGCAGTGATGGCATTCAGACGTTGGCTTCTTGCGGATCAGACACAGGTGATCCCCGTAACATCCTTTCCCAGTGATCACCTGCGTCAGTCGGTACGAGAGGGTCCCGTGACGCCTCTCGAGCCAATCCTCCATAACGGGACGAGTAAATACCTAACACCCATACAAATACTATTCGCAGTAAACAAATACAAAGCGGTCTAGAATATCAGCATTTAGTAAGATAATATATGATAATAGAAAAGAAGGCAAGCATGCAGGTTCTGTCGAGAGGCAGAAAACACTGCAACGCACTCCGCATTCATGAATTCATTCACCGAATTATCTATCTCAAATTGCACATACCTACCATACAACCGCAGGCAATATAAATAATTACTGCTTGTATGTTTTAAAAGTTTCTCGATGCAATCACAAATATGGTCGAAGTAGCTATAGACTTGACAACGTATTAATATTTTTAGTATCTACTAGCCTTTTCCCGCGGTTCCGCCCGCGTTTATGTTGGTTTTCACGGTAAAAAGTAGCTCATGTTACCTACTCGCTGATAATGTAGCTTTCCATTGTTGTTTGTTTCATTGCCATGGTTGAAGCGTGAAAGCGTAACAAACAAACTTTTCACATTTATAATATTAGAATGGAAGTATGGATGTAATGGTGAATTAATTGGGTCTGTTATAATTTTTCACAGGAATGGAGGCATTAGAAACTAGTATAAACTACTGGGAAGACGCGCTGGCAGCGTTCTCTCTAGGCGCGCGAGGAGGAGTATCTGGTACACTCGCGCTCACTTCACCTGAAGAAGCAGAGTTTTGTAGAGAAATACAGGAACTCCTGCAAAATGCCTATCTCTTGCAGGTAAGTTCATCTCGAAAAGTACAATTATTATGACGCATATACCTTTTTTGTCTGTGTGGAAATCCCTTGGGATACCACCGTTGTGGTTATGTCGAACTCAAACTTGACTAAAAACCGCACGCCAACTCGAGTACCAGTAACCGGGCAACCAGGTGTACCCTAGAAAGGAAATCCTGGTATCCCGACGTACCTCGGGCCATTTACGGCTTGGAGATGATCCCCTCTTATGTGGAAAACCCCGATATTCACTTTCTGCTAGGGTAACAGGTGTGGCCATCTCTCACCCCAAGGCCTGCGCTTACGGAGGATGGAGATCGTTCAGCAACCTCCGGCGCCTGAGTCGTTTGCGGTACATGGCCCGTACCCGCGCCTGGCGGGCTCTAAGACTCCCGGTTCCGCTCAGCCGTTCCGATAGAATTCCGTCTCCGATGACCGCTACGTCACTGGTATTCTGCCAGCGTGTGGCTCGTGGTTGTTTATACCTAATCTCTCTTCGCTTAATATTTAAGTTACTGGTAAAAAATGCGGTTACATTCAATGATGAATGATGTAATGAATAGATACTATTTTTGTTTTATGCTTTTTAAATATTAAACATATGTCTGTACCTTTTCAGGAACGTTGCGAGCTACTATTCCTGGACCAGCGGTCGGTGCTGTTCCGGTCGGAGAGCGGCGGCGGTGGCGGTGGCGGTGTTGTCGGCGGGGGCGAGGGCGGGGAGGCGATGGCCGGTCGGCGCGTGCGCCTGCTGTCCACACACACCGGCTCCTCGCACACACGCCGCGAACATCACTCTAGCATTGAATCTTTTGCTTCCGCTGAAGATCAGGTAGCATGTCTAAGCTGTAAGGCTGATTTTTATTGCATACACATAAAAGGCCACGAATGTACATCGTACATCGCATTGTAGTATACGGATTCTCAAAGTTTAGTTGTAAGTGAAGGTTTTTAATTGTTTGTTTGGTGTACAATAAAAAAAGGAAATAAACGGTTTTGAATAATTACTTAGTAGTTAACCAATTTTATGTAAATTACTTGAGTTTGAAAGAATGCATTGTTTTATTATAATATAATTCTGAAAATATTATAATATCATTATTTTAATAACTACTGCTACTTAAAACTATTTGCAGGTGGCAGATCTAAGAGATTTCGACGATCTAACTGAAGCTTTACCAGAATTAGAAAATTTTGAGTTGTATCAGGCAGCAGTCAAACACTTTGAAAATGGTATTCCTTACAGGTATGCGATACTACGGAATATCATCATCATCTTCGTTATCATCAACAGCCTTTAATAGTCCACTGCTGGACATAGGCCTCATCCTAGAAAGGAAGTTTTGGCCTACTATACCACGCTGGCCAGACGGGTTGGTAAAGGGTTTGTTTCAAGTTTTCCTTCTCTTGGCAGTGCTGTTCGAGTTAGTTTGCTCCCTTAGTAGGCTCTTATATCACCCACGGGATGAATAGGCGTGATAACACTCGGTATTATTATTCCGTCACCACACGGAAACGATTACGTTACTACAGAATAAAATAAAACATTTTTAAAAGAGACCAGAAGGGGGAACTCTGTGTGGTTAAGTACCACAGCGAGTGTAATTAATACAATCGTAGATAATAAAGATGTGAAACCCAATTTCGGAACATATATTTTAATCTAATCGTACTATGTGTAAATAAAATGTACCTACTATATAAAATTGCAGAACGCTACGGACGGAGGTGGTACAATGCAGTTCAGACAGTGAGTTCCTGTGCAAGCTGCACTGTCTCCGCCAGGCCTTTACCCAAGTGTTCAGGGACGCGGCCGTCTGGGCCTGGTTCGTGGACGCCGGCCGGCAAGTCCTCACTGACCTACTGCTGTTTGCTGACAAGGTAATATGATTATAACTAGCTAAAAAGACACTTATTCACTTGTTGTTGTGTTGTTTGTTGTAAGCATTTGTTTTTAAAGATTAACTGATGTCTGTCTGTAGGCTAGAACATAAATATGTCTTCTGAATGATATCATAGCAAACTCTCCTGTGATTTAAATTAACTATTACTAGAGAAATTGAAACTAAAAATGCAGAATAGTTTTGAAACAATAATTATTTGCAAATGTATGAATGAAGTAACCAGTTTTACAATTCACACATGTAAACGTGGACATTATAATATACTTAACAAAATAACACAAACATGTACACCTAACCAACCATTTCTTTTTTTTTGCCATATGTACATGATTAACGTGATAAATGTATTATGGAGACTAAGTTGTTCTGCGTTTTTTCTATATTCTACTTAGTCGTTTAAAGTAACTTAGATTTACTGAAGTACAGTTCTTGTGGATTGAAAATATTCTGCTTATCATGGTTATTTGACAGGAACCGAAGGAGTTCCTTGTAGCTTATGAAGAGATGGTCTCGTGGGCGACGGATGGCTCAAACTGGGCAACCATTGAAAGTGAACTCACTACTAAAGGTGTTAAGGTACGTTTTTATTTAAGAAAATTGTGTTTGATACCTCCAGCTAAAACCATATTTTTTTTTTAGTAGGCCAAAACCTCCTTTCTAAGGAGAGGCATATGTTCTGCAGGGGACTAGTAAAGGCTGTTGATGATGATGATTGATGTGATGTGATGTGAAATGGTATTCACAACCGCTTGAATAAAGGCTGCAATGTTTTCAGTATGTATATATTCGTAATTCAGAATGATTTAGATGTATGGGATATTGTAACATGTTATTCCGAGTGACATAGGCCATAAATTTAATATAGCAGCACTACTTGTTTGATTTTAGCTGGGCCAGGTTTAGTTTTATACTTTTTAGTAATTACTCGTTATAGGAATCACAATAGTGACTGAGTCTTATTTGTCAGGCGCTAACATTCTACGACGTGGTGCTGGACTACATCCTGCTGGACGCGTTTGAGGACCTCGCCTCCCCTCCCTCCTCAGTGCTCGCAGTCGTACGTAACCGGTGGCTCTCAGATGGATTTAAAGAAAGTGTAAGTAATGCAATATCTTTGCTTATATTTTAATGCGATTGTTAAATAAGTACATATAAGGTGTCCAGCCCTGTAGCTGTCAGGATTAGGTTAGCAAAATGGATTTTATTTTCTTTTTTGGCTGCACGAAAAGCATACTGGTTTAAGCGGTCACCTCGCCGCTTCCTACTGCGCTTAATGTTGTGGGTTCCAACCCACAATGGACAACACTTTGTGTGATCCACAAATCTAAGTCTGGGTGGTCTGCCGTGCCAATCCAAAAGACTGTAACTCGACTTACAGTGTTTTGCTTTAACAACGATCAACACTTTTCAAAAAAAACAAAATCTAAAAAATACTGTATTATATTGAAATTAGGGTTTTAACATGTTAAACAACTGTAACAAAGCTTGCAGTATTTTGCCTAAACAAGCTCCGCGCGTTGCTTAGGTACGGTGATAAAAATACAGTGTTTATGACCGATCCGTTCACTCGCACGTTGATGCCGTTCAACCAGCACACTTGACTGGACGAAACGATAATAATTCCATAATCTTAAAGAACAAGGGGGTTATGGTTGGCCTGTAGTTGGACTGATCAGCGCAGTCACCTTTTTAAGGGATCGATTTCACAAACGCTAATAATGCCCGTTAAAACAGGTGCCAACTCCGAAGCACATGTCTTTAAAGACTCCACCGGGCCACTCAACTTATGAATATGGAGGGAAAAGATTACTTTAAGCGCTTATTTGTGGGTGAATCGGATTTCCGGCGTACTGCTCTGGCACTTATGCGGTGGCAGCCTGCAACTTGCAGCCGCAGCGAGCACATGAATGTCACCTCACTCCGGATTAGGCAATGATCCGAGAAGCCAAGTAGGGCCCTAACGGTGACCTTGTAACCGTCCAGATCAGAGGTCACCAGAAGGTTTAACAGTGTAGGCTCCTGAGGGTCAGTCAGTCAGCTGTGAGAAACTGTGACAGGTCAGAACGAAATCGTTAACAGATCTCCCCCCCTAAACGGTTTTGCTTGAACCATGGCATTCGGCTTTGTGAGCGTTAAAGTCGCCAAGTATCACGAGCTCTGCGGATGGGATCTGCTGCAACACAGGGTATGTAGTAATTTGGACGTGGTCTATTATTCGGTCAGTTTCGGTATCTCCGCCATGAGACCTGTAGAGGCATGCATAGACGCGGGGATGGTCGTCGCTGTCTACACGGAGCCACAAGATGGAGAGGTCCCGTCCTCCAAGATTGCCGAGGCGGCGGAAACTGATATCATCTCTAACTTATATGCACACTGCATGGTATCCACGCTCAGATGCATGGTGTTCTGAGCTTGGACGTCCAGAGGGGGATGCATCAGATACAGTGTATCAAATCCAGTGTTTTGGCAAAATTACTTAACATTTCTATAAGGCACAATATTGTAATTGGTTGTACAGTGTTTTTGCCTTGTACTGGTACCATTAAGACTTGTCAAATCTATTGTGTCAATACAAGTTAGTGACAATATATTTTTTTTCTTAGACAATTAATAAAAAAAAGTACTCGGCTATGTAGTAGATATATACAACACAATTGAGTAGTAAAAGGTAAAAAAAGCAATTCATTGTCAAAAACGTTAATTGTCAAAAATCTCAAAAGTCGTTTTCAAAAGTTACAGTGTATTGGATTGGCATGACAGTGTTCTTTGTGTTAGTTTCATGAATGTTTGTGAAGTCCCCCACAAGAGGTATTCCTTTTGCCTGTTGTTGAGTTGACTTTATAAAATAGAAAAATGAATTAATTCACTTTCTGAAAATTTGTACCTATATTTTACTTGGCTAACAGAAAACGTGGAATTATGGTTACTGCCATGGAACTATTTGTGAAGCTATGTTTTCGAACATACAATATCGATGCTGGGCCTCCTTTGCACATTAACTAACACTATTTTCACACCGTTTATTTCAGGCTCTAACAACAGCCGTGTGGTCCGTTATTAAAGCTAAGCGACGATATCTACAGTACCCTGACGGCTTCATGGCACATTTCTACTCCATCTCGGAGCATCTGTTGCCTGTTCTGGTGTGGGGTTTCTTGGGACCCAACGAGCGGCTTCGCGACGTGTGCGAGAGCTTTCAGTCAGAGATTGTCGGCTTTATAGCAGACCTATTTAACTTCCAAAAGAGTCGCTACACAAATGTGGACGACCTCTCTGTGGATATACTTCAGCATGCCAGGTTAAGATGCGCCAACATTACTGATAAGTTAGCGGAAAGAAATTAAAATTATGGCACGGGGCATCTTCCAATTAACGTTCAGTCCTTGTGTCAATGTTAGCTCAAATGTTGTGGCGGAACCTCCACAAGCGTTGTTACGTGTTGTGTGTGTCATAATTTACGAATCTAAGTATATGAGCTATAAGTTCAAAATAGTTATAGTGATCAGAATATATATTTCCAGGTATTAGGTACGCTCATTGCATACATCATTAGTAATAGAACAAATATATCGCTTGTATTATTCGTATCTTCGAATAAAGCCGAATATTTAATCAATCAATCAATCATTTATTTAGTTAGATAGTACAATAATAATAATGCCAGTCGGTGAAGTTAACAAGACTCACCGACTAAATTAAATGATTATGTTGGAAGTGGTTACAAATAGATAGCGTAGTGTACCTTCTGGTTGGGTTCCATCCGGAAACAACATGATTGCTAGTCTAACACCAGCCCGTATGTATGCCCGGACTATTTTTAGCTAGATTGGATATTATTTTTCCCTAAAAAAATGTTTCTATTTTTTTATTTGATATTTTGCTTCGGTGAACACACCTATCTTATGATTTTATTGATCATTTGAACTAAAATAAATATAAGAATTGAGACAAATTCAATGTGTAAAGTTGTAAATGTTATCATCATCATCAACCTGAAATAGTCCACTGCTGGGCATAGGCTTCTCTTTAGAAAGGAAGTTTTCGCCTCAAATATTACGCTGGTCAGACGGGTTGGCTAGGCAGTTGGGTTGGGTAAATTTAAGTACTTTTACTAGTAACGAGATTTTACACTATGACTGATGAGCCAATATAAAAATGTATAATAACATGTGGGTGTAACGGTTTGGTTATTTATATATTAATTAACACAAGGTACTAACACTGTTTAAGAAGATTGCAATAGTCAGAGTTCGATCAAACCCAACCGACTTACATTTGTCTTCAAAAATGTAAATGCCATTTTAAATACGTAGCTCTTAAATATTATTCAAATTGGCTTGCTTCACTTAGATATAAGATAAAAGTGCTAACAATCTGTTTTTATTAAAAGCTTATACATAGGTATTACTGTTTCGTTCCTGAAAGATAAAGTGTACAGTTGTGTCATTTCCTTATATTGGAGAATTCATCGGCATTCTTCGTTCGATCGTTGACCTGAATCTGAATGAATCGTTTATTAAAAAAGGGCCTAGTGTTTGCTAGCCATATGAATTTTAAAGCACTTGAGCTCGATGCCATGCGCCAAATCTTAGTAATTTAGTAATTTGAAAATTTTACAGCTTGTTGACAACGGACGTCAATTATTATTAGTATTTTAGCGTTAAATGTTTTGCATGCGTCAGGATGGGTGACCCAAGAGAGATTTGAACCTTTGCCGTGCTACTAAGTCCCTGATATGATAGTTTGAGCTATAGATACTGATCAAATAGTTTGAGCCTTTCCTTGCCTTGGCCTTCTTGGTTTTCAGGATATCAGTACCCTAGATTATGTCTAAATAGCAAAGTGTATGCGTGAGATTTACTAAATCTAAAGGCAAAATAGAATGTTAGCAGGCCAACTAGTGATAACACCTCCACGTAAGTGAAACTAACCCGATCCACCCATTCTGACGTCAGAACTACTTTACTCGTAATATTTCTTCTTTCCAATGCGATGCAAATTATTTGTGAATTTTTACCAAATAGTAAAATAAAGGTAAACCTTAAGACTATTCACTATATCGACAGTAACACTCAGATCAAATAAACATTAATGCAGTTTCAAGTCAAGATCTTATTGACTAAAATTCCTTCTTTCTGTCTAGAGAACATAATTTGAAACCTATTTATGCAGCATTTAATTATAGAGGTATATCCAGCTGTCACAAGTTGTTTATGAAATAGTACGTAAATATTTGATTTTACGTTAATTTTTATCAACAGAAATAAAGTTTGGTAACTGTTCATAATTTAACGAAATAGAAGAAATCACAGGTTCTTGTTCACCTAGACCACACTAGGTAAGCTATTGTTAAATAAAACAAGATGTTCTGTTCTTGATATGCTTAGTTAATGATGCATTCCATGTGGGAGGAATAGGTACTAAGCTCTTCAATTTAATGAAACTATTTACTACTTCCATAGAAATGTTTACTAAATATTGTATAGAATATTATTTTACATACTAATTTTATTTATTTGCATTTGTTAATATAATAGCATTTGGGTAAGTTATAAATATGTATAATCAAGTGTATTGCGTTTGTATATATAGAATAAATTATGTACCAATTGATTGATGTTTTACTATACTACTATACAACAGGAAAATAAAACTTTGAATGTGCTAATCCGAACTTTGTGCGCTTCACTCATCTGCTTGCAGGTTGAAATGACCGATGAAAATAATAGAATGGCCCTTTACCTAACCATATTTGATACGAGCCGGCAATCTCGTGCGCGACCGTCCCGCGGGGTGACAGACAGTGGCGGGGGCGAGGTAGCGCGTCATTCTATAGTTAAACCGCCGTAAGCTTGGCCCTCCTGATGGTTTGCGGGACGCGGGGCGGGTGATGCGCTCGGCTATACATGACACGATGTACTAACTCGATATCTTCAGATTTATTTGTTTGAGATTTAATCTACACACGATGTAATAAAAATGTAATGTATTATAATGTCAGTGTATTGTAAGTTTTTATGATTAATTGTAAAATTTAATACTGTAAAATAATTTTAATAAAATCACCTTTTCTTCATCATGTAAATTATATTCAGATACAATTTAATAATTAAGTAAAATAATAAATATTCTTTATTAGAACGTTAACAGTAGAACCTCTGTAAGCCGAACCTCAAGTTTTTAAATCTTTTTGTGACGCAGTGTCGGCAGATTATCCATGTTGCAAAATAACACCGTGTGTAGCAGTCTTAAGAAAAATAACACGTACAGCCATGCTTTCACGTCAGTCACTGCCGGCGGACAGCGACGCACTAGCTAATTGGTTGAATGCATCCCCGCCCCGCGTCCCCCAAACCATCAGGAGGGCCAAGCTTACGGCGGTTTAACTATAGCACACGGCTACACACGATTCCCTTCCCCGCTGACATCTTGAGTACCTCGTCCCTGCCACCGTCTGTCACCCCGCAGGACGGTCGCGCACGACGTTGATGGACTATAGCAATGCCGCTTTGGATATTCGTTCAAGGAAAGAGGTTACTCAAGCTCTTGGCAATCTAAGGTCTTTAAGCGGGTTATAGAGGGATTTAGTTGGTATACCCCTCGCAACCACTTCGTCGGCCTACAACGCAATGACATAACTATTCTTAGTTATTTCGTTGGTTAAGTCAAAGTACTTGTTCTTTTTAAAGCGTACTTATCAATACCGCCTACCGGTAGGGATAAGTATAAATAAAACTACATTTAGCACTACCGATAGGGTAGTAGGGACTAGTATCTGCCGGTTTCAATTAAAGGGATCTTCATTAATCGATGGAAAAAAATAACGGCTACTTTTACAAATTAGAGTTCAAATATAAAAGTATTTGAACTAACGCTAGAAACGGTACAATTATAATTGTACCGTGCTAGAACGGATCATACGTTATAGGTCAAATACGTATTAGGTTAAACCAAAGAGCCTATAAATCGAGCGAATAAGGCGCTATCATATACGGTTGGTAGAGAGAAAGATTGTTTTGGTCTTGCAACTCTCTCTGCTCTTGCCACTGATTGGTTATTTTAAATGCCATCTTCAGTATTAGCCAAACAGAGTAGAGAGAGATGCAAAACCAAAACAATATTCTTTGACTTATAGAGGAATAATATACAGTTCGCTGCCTCTATGCCAAGAGGATGTAAGTTTTCGCAAAAAGTCAAATACGCATATTGTCAAACACTTAAATTGTAAATGGATTTAGCCTACATATGTCCAGCAGAGGACTGCGATAGGCTGATGATGATATTATTATACGAAGTCTTTTAAATTGTTAGATGTGATCTATTATTAGACTATTAATTATCTTGATCTTGATTTTGATCTTGGCCAAAACCTCCTTTCTAAGGAGAGGCCTATGTCCAGCAGTGGACTAGTATAGGCTGTTGATGATGATGATGAATTATCTTGAAAGTTAAGAAACGTACGACTGTGGCAATTAATACTTTTTAGTTAGTAAAATAATTCAATGTACCTATCATGTTTTGATTTACAAATAGTGTCCCTGATTTTATAGCCTTTTTCTTGAACGTGAAAGACTTAGATCGTGTTTGACTTTTTGTGAGTTTGGACTTTGCTTGTTCGACCGTTAGCGTATGATTCGCTAGAACCATATAAAAATTCCAAATTCCGCTTATTTGCCTGTGTACGTCTGATTGTTCCCCTTGGTGCCACAGCGCTTTTTAGCCATTGTGGTGTCTATGGTGATCGGTTGGGGAACCACCTTCTGCATGCGTTATTTTTTTATACAGTGAACGCGCAAGGTTGATTTTTAATAAATTAGTTCTAAAAATCTTGATTTTTAATAAATTAGTTCTAAAATTTACTAAAAGTTGGTCATTTATAGTAAGTAGTTGTACATTTTCAGTCACGACCGTTGGTAACCTTTGAACGATTGTAGCTTGTGAGTGGCTATTTTTACAATCTAGACTTTATTTACAATTGTTGGGATCTTTTACTGCAGTTGACGCATTCAAATGTGGTCCCTCAATGGGAATGCTAGCATCACTCACCATCAGGTGATCCATCTGCTCGTTCGCCCCCCTCCGTACTTTACACATTCACCCAGGTCAGGTTTCCTTTTTTTTTGACCTACTATACCACGCTGGACAAAGAGAGTGACGAAATGGTCTGGGCCAAGAGGCACTAGAAATAGAGGCAGACCTAGCGCGAGATGGGTGGACGAAGTAGTGGAGACGGCGGGTCGTGATTGGTTCACAGTAGCTCACAACAAAGAAAAATGGCATGCCTTGGAGGAGGCTTTTACCCACAGGGGGTCCGCACAAATCTCATAAATAAATATTTATACTTTTCAAACTTTTTTTACCTTGTAATTTGTACGGAATCAAATAAAGCTTTATTATTATTATTATACCACGCTGGCCAGACGGCTGGTATAGGGTTTGTTTCAAGATTGTCTTCTCTTTGCTGTGCTGTTGTTTTGCGTAGTTTGCTGCCTTACATTAGTCGGCTCTGCCGGCCAGGACGAATATGGGGTGGTATACACCCCATAAGCTTAATGTTACCACACGGGCAATATAGTTGTATATGACGTACCTATATCATGTGAGGAGTGAAACGAAGATTACAAAAAATATTAAAATTTGACTCATTGATGATCAGGACAGGTTATATTTTCGTTACTCACATTTTATGTATCGTACTATAACTTACAACATAGCTTGGCGCCTCTAGATAATTAGATATGCCATCACCATAAGATATCCTTACCTATGAAATAATGTCAGTGACACTGATATTACAAAAAAATATTAACTTAATTAAGGCTTATAAATTCCTATATTGCGATAGTGAACATAAAATTAAATTCAGAGATGAGTGTAAGGTAAGTGCCTAGTGTAAGTATATTTCCCAGCAACTTGCTCTCGACGGCGAGCGCGTTCGGCGTTGCGATTAGTGAAGATTTCAGAGGGCCTTACAGTCTATTAGTACCCATGCCACCGATAGGTGGTATCCGAGGGGATTTCCGCACGGATAAAAAAAAAGAGGGCCTTAAGGTGAGTTGCCCGCACTAAAATCTACACTAATCGCAACGCTAATAGCAATACCAACACCGAACGCGGTCACCGTTACGATCTTGTAGATGTGAAATAAACTCACAATAGGCCCTCTGAACATGTTTAGATGAATTCACTTCTTTACACGCTCCATCGCTAATGCATGTTGCTTACTACCAGTTGTAATATCTGTAATTCTTTATTTTGAGCACATTAGTGTATATTGTATGGTTGACGAATTAAATAGTTTTATTACAATATACCTGTATAGGTAGTGAAATAAAACGCGTATCTATTAGAAAACTTAGTATATCAATTTTCACAATTATAGCCATACGTCTATGATATAAAAACAAATGTGTAAACATAAACCTTTTATTACAAATTCAACGATAATACTTTCCCCAAGAAGCACCAATTGTTTTAGTTTTATTATTTGAAGTTAACAGCACGTCACTCGCTTGTCTCATCACATAGGTAACAATTTAGACAGACTGTCTTTTTAATTTATCTGCACGAATAATTTAGTTTGGCTTAAAATATTTAAAGATAAAAAAAGGACAACGAGTGACGTAATAGTTTTTACGTCAGCATGGGCAACGATTTTTTGGATACACGACCTGTGTTGACGGTTAGTTTTAAAGATATCTTACGGTATCCGTTCAAAATGCAAGAAAGCCTGGCAACCATAATCCTTGTAATTGACAAGGATTACACGTTAGTATAATAATTATTCGAAGATTCACTACAATAATTATTTGGTTTAGTGCATAGCAACTATATTTAAAATTTCTAATGAGATAACAAAAATAAAACAATATTTTAAATAAATACTTAAGAAAACTATAATATCTAATGTCTGTTATAGATATTTTGATTGGCAGGCTTCCTCTAAAATATAATATAAAAGCTTACGAAATAGTGAGAATCGACAAAGCTACTCGTCAGGACTAGACACTAAAAGTTTTGAAAGTGAGTATACAAACACACGAAAGAAATGCATGCATTCATCTTATATAATAAATGGAATCTCTATGATATCCCAACTAACAGAATCAATATATACAACAAAATAATGAACAAGTTCTTTTGTTGGACGAAATAAACATTAAGTTGAAAACGTTCTGTTCAGAATGTGTAATGTACCTATGTGGTGGAAATAAAACCATTGATGGGAGATCAACGTAGACTGTGGATTTGTGTAAATCATATTACACAGTATTTCTTACGCACAGTAAATTCTATCACATCATCAGATCCACAGCTAATTTATGAAATAAATATTCACAAAAATGAGATGCTATACCACCACTAAAAAATATATATTTTGGTGTGCTAATACTTTTAAAGTCCGCTAAATTAATGTTGAAAGTGAAACTCTCTAAAGTATAATTGTACGGAGACAGCGGCGCACGGACGGCTCGTGGGCCGAGCGGGCCGCGCCGCTAGCTGCCTACGTGTGCGTGTGGCGGCTCGCTCGCGTGCCTGGTGCCTGCGCTCTCTACGGTGTGGGTGGAGGTGTGGGTGTGGGTGTCGATGTGCGGGGCGAGCGAGCCCTGGCCGAGGTTTACTCGGGTTCGGGTGAGTCCGGCGCGTCTACGGCGACCACGGTGGTGCCGCCCGCCGCACGAACCTTCTTCAGGTAGCTGGCGCTGTCGAACTCCAGGCAAGTCTGTCGACACGAGACCACATTATCCTCGGCACCGACACCGCCACCGCCGGGCTCTCGACGGGGTGTGCACAATGTTAGTATGCAGTGTAAGCGTGTGGGCCGTCCACTCGTTAATTACAAGATAAACCGACCACCAGACACATTCGAAAGTTAGTTGGGAGGTAAGCGAAAGAACAGGCAAAGACGATGGGTATTTTGAAACTTTTATATTTGAAAATCATAAATTGACAATCGTATTGAAACAACACTGGTAATTTAAACTCTTACTCAATTAAAAATAATCAACAATAACAAATGAACACAACAGAAAAACAACAGTAAAAATTTGGAACTTCATTCAACGCAAATGGTTTCTACCTGTAGCGAACCCCTCTCGAGTAACCGTTCTGTCCGAGCAGCGTATATAAACAGACATGACAAATTTATATTAGCATTAGTAACAAACACTTAGTAAAGCTTTCAAAACTATTCATTCTTGTAAATAACATTGCGTAAAAGATTTATCAATATTCAACTGTCAATAAACACCTTTATATATTAGTAATAAAAAATTCTTTCATTATTTTAATAATGAAAAATATTTTTTTCTAAAAGCTAAAGCTATTTTCACTTTGCAGCTAAAATAATAGTATTACCTAAACTTATTTATAATCAGTCTCGTGGGATAGTTGTGTGCAACGTTGTGTTAACGACATTTGCGGGAGAAAAAACTCACCACTCCAGACTCGATCGAAGCCCCATCACATAATACTATATATAGGTCAGTCTTATTAATTAACTTACAACTTACGTTACTGAGATCGATAGATTTCCTATTTTAAGAGTAGCTTATTACAATTTAAATAATTATAGCGTTACGCTTAATAGGCTACGGGGCCGTCGTTCAAAAATCGGGAGATGGCGAGGTTCGTGGTACCGAAGATTTAAATTAATATATATAATTCTTTCTAAGAATATCTAAGTCATCACAGATTCGAACACCATTTCATAGCAGCACCATGCACTAATTCATAGGAAGGAGTGAAATAAATGCAAGCGGGAGTGCGTGCGGCGTGGGGGAGGGGAGGGGACGCCTGGGCGACCGACACCATTTTCTCATTGAAAACGCTCAAGTTTTAAAATATCGAAACGCGTCGGTCGCTCAAACTCTGCGATCATCGTCGCCCCTCACAGAGGGCGGGGGGACAGCGAGAGGGGAGGTGGGACGGGGAGGGGGTGTGCTAGTAGAAGTTGCGGCAGAGGAGCGCCGCGAGGTAGTTGGGGTGGTGCAGCGGCGTCCACACGCGGAAGGGCGTGAGCACGCGCGGCGCCGCCCCGCCGGCGGGCGCGGCGCGCCGCACTCCGCTCGGCGTTACCTTGCGCGCCAGCTCCGGGGGGAAGGCGCCGAGCCCGCTGGGCGGCAGCTTGCTCAGCGGCGAGTCCGCGTACTGCACCAGCGTCTCGTACGTGTACGTCTGCCGCGACCCGCTCGTGCCACCTGCAACGTCACCGCGACTACCCGTCACACGAGATCGATACCGCACGGTCCACATACTCATACGATTTATATACATATTCGCTTTACACTCCCTTTTATATTCAATTATATAACTAAAATAGTGTATATATTCATCGTGAAAATTTCTTTAGTCGAGTGCAAAATTTACCTCATGAAACGCGTGCATCGTTATACTAAAATATTATAAGCTAATTTATAAATACAAGCGTAATGCGTTGTCAAACAGCATGGTCTTTGCATAGCCCTAAGCGTTTAAATTAGTATTGTCTGTTTTTGACTGACTGTTGCATATATTAATGTAAGATAAGATTATAAAGAGCGCTGCACTAAAAACATCAGTAAAGCTGAAATTTTAATATGCATGTTTTTTCTTTGTCTAATATTATTCTACTTGAAAAATTATAATTCTATCTATATTTTTAAAATTATCGACACCAAACAAATTAAAGGCTTCTATAAAAATCGACTACAATGATAATTTACAAAATGTTACCAGACATACACTATGATTTTATAGTCGTTTTGAAACCTGAAATTATACACCATTAGTATCGATGAATACTAGAGACGAAGAAAGTATTAGTTTAATAAAATGAAAATATGTAAGTATGTACGAGTGATTTTATAGTCTGTGCATAAAAATAAGAAATAGACTATACCCTCATAAATTAAATTTTTGATGATATTGCTAAACTTTGATAAGGAACAAAGAACTGGTACTATTCTCTTAAATCAGCTCGATTTCGGCATTCAATATTTACCCTACAGAGCGGTGATGCCTATCATTATTAATGCTAAAAGATTTTTGTAGCGCCTATTTGCTATATTATCGAATGTAGGTATGAGATGGCCATCGCTGTCATTATGGCCCAATTGATATTCGTCTTCCGTCTATTGACAGTCTTTTTGAATGGTCCAAGTTACAAGGACTGTTAAACTCACTATTAGTATATTTTTGTGTATTGCCGGTACAATTCAGTTTTTTGGTACCACTTATTTATTTACTATTTTATCTCGGTTCAGTTAAACAACTATAAAATCACCGCATATATTATGTGGTTGTCACACTGCGTCTACAATCGATGAAATCGCTCTTTATATGGTGACATGCAGATTATATTGAATAGTGAATAAATTTGAAAATAAAAAAAGACATTCGAACATATTTATATGCATAATATATATATATGACATAACGTGGAAATGAATGGTTTCTTACTTTTTAAAGGTATTTATAAGGTGTTAACATTATTTTACGGGCAAGAAAGTTTCAAACCCCAATTATTCTATAAGCAGAGTCACGCTTCACGGCAGTGTACTTTGAACAGTATCCATTAAGACGTTATAATTTACAAAACACTGATCAAATAAAACATGCTTTTAAATATTGCGAGTTGTTTTTATAAGTGCTTAGATTTATTATATTTTTATTATTATTTTTTTTTGTTATTATATTTATTATTATATATTTTCTCGGTCCCAGTTGGCCGATTAATTAAAAATTATATAGGACGCTTTAATGGAAGCGCCATTTGACTAAAAAAGTTATTGTTATTATTGCAATTTTTTTTAGTTTTCAATAAACGATGACGCGGATTCTAAAACGCGTGTGTTAATTTCAGTTTTGTAGTTAGAACTGGTCTCATTTTCTATTCTTCTGGCAAAAATGATGACTATAATCACAAATAACTAATAATTGTTAATTCATAGTAGACACGATTAACAATTAATAAGCGATTAAATTGCACATAACAATTACATCTTTATGTTAAGCTTTTATCCAACTTTAAACCGATCTAGTCCATGATGCAATTAATCCCTCATTGTCCACGTCTATTACCTCTAAATCTAGAAGTCTGACTTCTACATCTACAAATCTATGCCCTCTACATCTATACAAGTCTCTGGTGATCTCACAGTTCAAACATTATTATACTGGCAAACTCGTTGCATGGCGTGCGTGCTTGTTGACAGTATTTATGTATTATACTTAACATACAGGCTCTAGTTGTCAGTCCCATAACATTTAATGAAACAAAAATTGAAACTCATTAAAAATATGGACAGTCAAAACTTGAGTCCTGTATAGTTGTCTAAATTATATATTTCTTAGTTTAAAACACCTTGTTAATTAATAACTCCGGTAACTTATGATACAATCCTTGACTTACAATAATTTTTTTATGTTTAAATTTTATTCTTCCCGCGTATTTTACTGTGTAAAATGTTAAATGTTATCATGCACAGCGGTTTTTAAAAGATAAACTATTTATGATAGTTTCTTTTTTCGCCATACATTGGGATGTATTTTGGGTGCTGCTAAGTTACGATAAGTGTACGTGTAAGTAACGATAGCATACCTAAATTTTTCTATCTCCATCACCAATCATAAGAATACTTATTTTAAATTCGCTAATCTTAAAAAACACGATAATTAAGTTTTTATTTTTATTGCCCATAGTCTGCATTTATAGTTTTCATCATTTTGCAACAATTGACTTGTGAAAAATCTTTTTCAATGAAGTTTATTTTAGTAAGGCCCCGTTTATTTATTTTTTAACTTAAAAACACACTAGAATCTCTCGCTCAATAAAATGAAAGGAACCAGATGCAACCAGCTATTTAACTGCAGTGACGTGGTTAACCGTGATCCGCTGAACTTCCCGCGTTAATCATGTTATTTACAAGTATCGGGTTCAACTAAATATTCGTAACGATTTCCAAGGGTTGAACACAATGAAGTTTAAGTACGAAGCTATTATAGTATAGCAACTTTTTTTAGACCCAGTAGTTTATGGAAAATTGCCTTTTTGCGATGCGAACCCGAAAGTCGGGACGTGTACAGCCATTTTGGTAAATTAAATGTTCTGCAAATAGTGTTTGCTGTGAAGCGTGTACTCTGTAGGCTCGGCACACAAGACCCGTTTCTCAGTTTGGTAAGTGTCTATCAAGGCCTAAAATATCCGCATCTCAAAACACTAATAGATATTCTGAAGTACCCATATATCCTTAATACCCATATCTAAAAATTAGATAGACACATACGTATATACGCATGGTTTCAAAAATGTTTTCAGTACTTCAAAATGTCTTAACCAGCTATTAACAATTTGCCAGGACGGAATACACAAAAGTTAAATGTGCAGGAAGAGGTATCGGATATTTCGGTAAAAGGGTTTTAAAAGACGAAACTACTCGTGATACAAGTGCAAACCAACACGACAATGACTAACATAAGCGTGTCCAAGCAAGTTTCTGATAGTGACCACATGAATTTAGTAGAGATTTGTGGTGTGGGTGTGATGTTTTTTACCTTGGTTCTTGTCAATGCTGGTGGCGCGCGAGAACCGCGGGCGGCGCGGCGTGGCGTCTGTCTCGGCCGCCGCTGCACAAACGCCAGGTCACACACGCGCACACACACATACACACCGACCACGGCCGCGACTCTCCACCGAACCGACTCCACCACCGCACTACTTCGGAGCGTCCACGTCAAACTCCAACTATTTATTCACATGTCAGTGATCGAATTCACCGATCGTGTACTTAGGTACATCGTGTCTTACTTGATTTTGAAGTTTCATATATCTGCCTTACAACATTTAAATGATGCGATAAAATAGTGCGGTTGGTTCAGTAGGAGTATTGTAGGTTAATATTTTAACGAAACTAAATGATCGCTTATGAATATAATGATGTTAAATGAAAATTTGGAAAAGAAAACTGCTGCGACCGTGGCTCGAGGTGGTTTGGAAAATAAAATATTAAACATGAGTAACATAAATATACATAATAAATATACTTAATACTATGTATGAAAAATAAATATTTCAAATAATGCAACTAAAAATAAGATTTTCAAAATGACTGCAAATCTAAAGATGTGGGTACATATTACATCAATACCGAATAATATTTTCATGCTTCAGTCAGTCGCTATTTTACGGAGTCTTTTTCTCTGCCTATGAGTTATTATTAAATAACACACTCTCAGTGCAGAGTTATTACATGCTTTCAAATAAGTTACAAATCCTAGCTGCTATGCCATGCGGTTTCAAAGTATTAAATATGCCAATAACTCATTTCAGCTTTAGAAGACACTAATATGAATTTCTAACTGCTTCGTAAAAAGAGTAGAAACAACTGAAAAAAAACCATTTGATGGTAAGTTTTCATCCGATGTTTTGCCCATACTGTTGTACGGCGGACCTAATTTGTATTACAATCACAACTTACAGGAAATTAGCGGAAAGAATTTATGGATGGTAGCAGATTCCATTAATTAGGAAAAATGTGGTAGATTTAAAAATTAAAACTTGCAAATGGAAAAGTTAGTAGTTCAAAATGACCACGTATATAGTACATATCAAAAATTATGGTAATATGTTAAATGACATGGTAAGTCAACAAAACAAAGGTCTGTCAAAAGAATCTACGAATTAAAAAACTAAATACGGCGAACTTTAGTCATCTGATAGGCATCCAAAAAAATAAATTAGCTCTCGGAAACTAGAACACTAAGTTTGGAAGAACATTAAGTGAGCACCAATGTTTCTTGGGTAATGTTGCCACTTCAGTTGTTAACGGTTTTGTCTTAAAAGTATTCGGTTCCCTAGCCTTAATCTTGTCCAAACCACGGTTTCTTTGTTCCTTACTTAGATTATTCTACAAATGACGAACTATTACATAACGTAAACTTACCGAATAAAAATGCCATATTTTGTACTTACATGTTTATCAATTATTATTTTTTTGTATTTGAGCAACTTAACCCATTTCGCATTTGGGACTTGTATGTCATGCATTAAAAATGTTTTTAGCCGAATATGCAACCGTCCATAAATACATTCATGATTATTACGCATAATATAATGTTTGATTTCTACGTTGTGATTGTTTTTCTTATGTACGCCGCCGTTATGTTAAGTGACATGGTGTTACCTTTCTGTACTGAAAACGAAAGGTAAATTAATTGATGTTTTGTTCGTTCAAAAACAACAATCATCACTGGTGAATTGACGTCGTGTTCGTACAGAGCGCTGGGCGCTGGGCACTAGGTGTGTAGTGTGTGGGACGGTACCGTTGTCGGGCGGCGGCGCGAACACGTCGTCGTCGGCGCCGTTGAGCGCGGCGTCGTCCCGCAGCAGCAGCGCGGCGGCGGGGCGCTGCGACAGCGTGAAGAAGTCGCCCGACCCCGCGCCCATCGCCTCCAGAGCGCCCGCGCTCTCGAAGTACTCGTCTAATACTAACTTCGCAGTCTACAAACGACACGAGCATTATTTATTTATTCATGAAATTAATTACGACGATAAAAAATTTCACTTTCATTTCGTTTCACTCGTTTTGGAGCTCTTAAAAGTTTTACATATATTTCAGTTTTATCAAAATATTGTAGAGTACCTTGCAAGTAATTACAATTGATAATTTTATAATTTGGATAGTTTTGTAAAGGTTTTTAAAGAGTAAAATGAAACGAAAGTTTTGCCTGCCATTACAAAATTACCTATATATGCTACAACAGAAGGTACAAAGGAAATATTTAATTGACCAAGCTGTAGCAGAAATGATGTCAATCAGGGACGGGCTTTGTCTGTTTTTACGGGATAGTTGAACTATATCCATAACTAAATGATAAGAAAAACAATCTTACACACAAGTATATCATCTTATACTGGAAGTTCTTCATACCAAACAAAATTAACTCACCTTTACAAGATCCAAATTATTGCCCGTGATCTTAATGGAATGTTGCCCAAAAGTCACAGTGTACTTATACTCTCCTAGTGCGGCGTCATTTGTAGAGAAGCTATGGAGCAGAGCTCGAGAATTGTGAGGAGATTTCTAAAATACAAATACGACGAATAATGATATAGTAAAATGTTACGAGAACGTAACAGGCTCGTGGTCACAAAAGTGGTTAACATGAGAAGGGATATAAGGTAGTGTACCTCCCGAGGACGCGGCGCGTCGTCCGAGCCGTTAGAGTCGAGCGAGGCGCGCGAGCCAGCCAGAGCGCCGCTCTCGAGCGCGGACTCCAGCCGCACCGGCGATGCATTGCGCCGGATCGTGTCACCGATTAGGTGCTTAGCGTGGCTGTACACATGCACCATTCATATAACGATTTATACTTTATATTTACAATTCTTAATCTCACTAAGAGTTCCCAGAAATACGCCTCTAAATTTTACTCCACGATGAATTTGCAGTTAAATATATTCGATGCTAAAACCTATAGTTAAATTCAGAAATTTTTAGGCTAATTACACAATCATGTACCTGTTTTTTTTTATGGTGCACAATAAATAATATTGTATTTTAATTGGAGTACGAGGCTAAACTTATTACGATGTGAGGTGGGGTCTTTATATTAGACCAGCACGCCCAACCACATATCGTCGTTTCGACGCTTATACGCCATTACCATTATTGATTTAAGCCTAAAATGTTTAGTCAAAAAGTAATTGCTACTATTTTTATGACTTACTTTACATTTTCCTCATTTGGTCCAGTAATCTGCACTAGACGCTCCTTTGCCCCGGGACTCACTGAAATCAGCAAAGCTTATATGATTCCAACCCCCAAAACAAAATTGCACCACATTAGTATTGATTATTAAAATTTGAAGCTCTTAGCTAGATGCGATTATTAGGCGGTGAGATGAGATTTTATTTTTAAGATTAATAACTTTAGGTTTTAATCATTCCCCCAAATTTGAGTGTGGTAAATAATAATGATGGATGGCAAGAATGTATATACAAGCAGGATTTATTGAATTTACAATATGTCAATTTAGTTTGACAAAGGATTTGCTATGAGATTATGTTAAAAATGATGGATGGTGAAGATTATTTCGGTAGATAAGAATTGGAAGAACCCGCCACACCATGCGCAAGCGCTTCACACCGCACCGTGCCTTCATACCTCGCTGAAACGATATAATCGTGTCACTTAGCTCCTCGATCATGTGCACCCTCCTGCCCTTGATACCCATCACTGTAACACCACAACACAACTTCAGATACGCCGTCAAGATGCTCTCCTTTTAATACCACACAATTACTCTGCCCAATTCAGAGAACTCCCATTGTGCATAATTGCTATAATTTTTGAACTCCAAATATCAGAAATTTGGCAAACAATAACAGCAGAGAATTAATACAGAGAATAAGCATACAATTTTGTTTCCCACATAACTTACAATGCCTACAAAACATTTGTTTGTCTATGACATGCACTATGGAATTATCAATAGTCACACGAGTAATACTGAGAACACAGAAGCATATCATGGACCCCCAATAGTCATGCACTGTTTCTCCATATTTTATCGACTATTTTCTAAAAAGTCATCATGACAGTACCCTGATTAAAATAGGTCTTGACATGTAAAATAAAGTACGTCACCTTTCCCGGAGTCAGCATTCCTGATGACTACTTCATCCTTGGAATAGTTTTTGCCAGGTATCTTGGTGGGCTTAGGAAACTTTCCCGAGGGCTTGATGATTTCGCCGGGACCGAGCAGTGAAGGCTGCTCGGCGGGCGCAGCCAGCGTCGGAGACACCGAGCCACCCGAGCCTGACCCCTCCATCGTCGGCACCAAAAGTGGCTGCCGCACGCAAATCACATTTACCAACGTTGCACACTAATGAAAATATCTAATTATGAATATAATAGCAAAATATATTACCTCAGCATGTGTGCCACGATGTCTATAATATTGACTCATGTAGTCAGAGCCCTGCCACAGTTTGGCGCGCAGCTCAATAAGCTCAAGAAGATGAAGTCTAGTTTTCTTATCCAATCGCTCATCCTGTGAACCATTACGGAACACAACAAAATATCTGAAACAAACAATTATTTATTTTTCCATAGATTTTCATTTTTTTATGGTATAGGGGGCAAACGATGTTCACCTGGTTGTAACTACCTCTGTCCATAGACATATCAAAAATAACAAGTATGTTGCCACTCTTTAATTCCCTCTTTCGAAGAAAAAGGGGGGTTTCTAGGCTCTGATAATCTTACTCACTCAGTGAACAGCAACTAAAGAATTGCTTAACACAGTTTTACTGTGAGGCCACTACTGCTACTATGACTGGTAATCACAGTTTTTTTTTTATCTGCATTTTAATTCAATTTATTTTTTCAAGATGATGTACATTTAAGTTTAATAATGCAATTACTTAGCAATTAGGTATCGCCGTGTCATGTAATGTCGTGAGACTCATCCAGATCAAGCAAGGCTCTGTCTAGATCTGTATTTCGGGTTTACTTTTGCTCAAAGACACAGTTACAGTTTTTAAAGGAAAACAGGAAAATTAAGTCTTTTAGTACTAGACTCTTCATATTCACTAACAATCAATTGAGGTACCTTTGCACCTACCTATCGAGAAAGTCCTTGTAAAGTGCTTCGAGCTGGGCGCCATACAGCTTCAGATTAGAGTACATGGTGGCCACATTACTTTGGAGTGCACGGTCATAATTACCCTGCATCATTTGATACGCCACTGCTTCTGTTAACACTATGAGGTCATCAACTGCAAAACAAAAATAGCAACTACACATCTGCACCATAAAATATGTGACATTTCAACAAATATAGTAGTATAGTATCATTTATGTGACAACAATGTCTAGAACACTTTACTGTTTATGAAATTCTGTATAGTAAAAATATGTTTTTTTTTGTAAACATAAGCAAAAGCCTAAACCTTGTTAGATCTTCACTTATGCTGCACAATTGAATGTTTATTCCAATACAATTCTAAATTGAAACAAAGATATTTTTTTTGTTTTAATTAACATATTTGCACATCAAGCATTATGTGAGTAGCTACTACTGAAAGTAATTTGTTGCTGTAATAAGACAATCTAGGTCACATGCCACTTGCACACTATATGATAAGGCAAGATTACTTTTATAACAGAATCTGAAGAGAATAAAAAGTTTACCCATTATTAGTAGTTTATTATATTTAATTTAATTATTTACAAAGTGATAAGAATTTTATCATGTAAAATTTATGTAACATGGTTGAATAGCAGAAAATGACAATAGAACCCAATAAGATTCTTAGTGGATTAGATCATAGTTCCGATCGTATATATACTCGACTCCACTCGACAGATAATCAAGTCTTGCAAAGTACAATCTAGTCATCTGAGTAGACAGTTTTTTTAATGGACTATGTCTTATTTAGAAGTTTGTCACAATTCATCTAATTGATAATATTTAAAGTTAGTCTACATCCACATATTTTACTAATATATTATTTTAGGAATTAAAATTATATTTCAACACTACATTTCTTTTTGGTATATTTACTCTGTGAATTTTGCTTCATGTCACTTTACCAAATTCACCAGCTTCAAGTCCAGGCTTTGTGGGATGAATGTAATGTTTCATCTGATGTAGGAACTAATTATGACACTTTTCCAGGACCAGCGTAATCACCAACAAACTCACAGTTGTTAGCCTGGCTCAAAGACTCTCCAATAAGAATAGTAATAATTATATAGGTATTGTGTTGTACAGAATCACTAGATATTTACCAGAGTTTATTTTGACGTCCAATACAGAGTTGCGGTTGTGAGCAGAACTGGTCGTCGATTTCAAAGGTCTGGGCACCTCCAGTTTTTTAACCGTGCGGGTCATTTTCGTTAGGGTCGACATGGTGCTGGTAAAATAAACACAATTTCCAATTTAAACAATTTAGTCAGTCTGGAACCTATTGTTTACCGATACAACAAAACAATCACGAACCGTGATTGTCATAATTTAGTTGGGAAATCGGGAGGATATGAGTAACCTTGCCATAATTACACACAGAAAAATTACCGAGTGAAGAAAATTATCGGAAAACTCACTCATCCATGGCGACAGCGCCTCGATGTACAACAGAACCACTAAAGTAAATCGTGTGAAAAGTGAAAGTGATGACAATGAATAATCCTAGCGAATAAATTCGGAACAAATCCAATACGTGTTCATTACTCGTAATATTGGTTTTTCGTGTAATAAAAACGGATAAGGTGGAAAAATTTTGACTTTATAGAAGATTAAATATTTTGCTCGATGAAAAACATTTAGACAAAACAATTGAAAGCCATGGAACACTATGAAATAAGAAATAAACAAGAAAACTCACCTGGCTACGCCATTAATTCGCAATAAAAATAAATTCGAAGTAGTGAAGTCCAATAGAACCTCAAACGTAAATATTGTTGTTTTTATTAAATAATTTAGTGAATAAATACGTCACAATTTCAGAAGTAGAAATAAAAAATATTAGCATTATTTATTGCTATATAGATATTTAATAATAACAACATAAAAATGAAATATAAATTCGATATAATGCAGATCCAGCACTGAGGTTAGATTCATTATAATGCTTGCTATTCACGGACGGATCTGTTGAGAAGAACAGTTCATTTTGATTAGAGATTTTAATATTAGTAGCACTAAGCAAAAATTGAGCCACTTCGGGACGTCTGGCAGATATGAAACATTAAAATTATGTTGTAAAAATTAAAATAAAATGAGCAGTCGGAGTACATTTGATAGATTCGAAAAATCAAAATTATTTTGTTGAAATAAATATATTAAAATACATTGTATTACATACATGTTATATTATACTATTACACAGCGTAGCCAATAATTCAAGCTAACAGCAGGTCTGACCCTCCACATTAGATATTTCACATCAAAAAGTGCGAGTGGCGATGCGTCGTTGCACCGCATTAAACGTTACGTATTTAATTCATACTATCATATAGTGCGATGATGACACATCGCCACGCGAACAGCCGGTCTGATCCTCCATATTAGATGTTTTACTAAAAGAAACATGATCAACCAAACCCCACAACTGAGCAATAATCGTTTTGGAAGCCCCATAACTTCACATCGAGAGTAATCGAGACTGAAACTACAGTGCTGAGCAAGATGAGGTACCTGTGCTTGTGCTTCTTTCAGTAAGAATGAGCACAGGTGTCAATATTCGATGATTTTGTTAACGATCATTACACTAACAGAACCTACCAAAACAGTAACACTTATTTCATGAACATGGTTTTAAATTATTTGTTAAAAAAGAAAGATAAATATATACCTACTCTAACAACTCAACCGTTTGAAGGTAATTCGGTCTCCTATAATTTATTCTGTGGACTGTAGGATTGTAAGAAAGGTCACTAGTTGTCACTGTCATTAGCTGTCAGTTCTTTTATGTCAGTCAATTTCGAGTGTGGTGTGTGGTCGTGTTTTTGTTTCTAGTATTCCGATTATGTCGTAAAATGTTACAACATCGGAATTTATTTTCAAAATAAAAATATCAGACATAGTTTAAAGTGATGGTGTACAATGAAATAATGTGATAACTGCTTTACTGTATTAAGAGGTATGATAAAACTCATGTTTTTATGTCACCGGCCAATGATTCAAATTCGTAATATTCTCAGGTTTACAATCCATACCCTTTGAAAATATAGGCTATAATTTTCACATAAATTAAGTCAGTTTTCCTCGTTTTTCTATTCTTTTAAAATTTATATAAGTACCCACTTATATTTGTTGTTTTCCTATTCCTAACACAGTTGTTTTCCTGTCTTAATAATTTATATCGATGTGTTTGTGATTTTGTTTGTCCTATTTGTTATCAATATGGAAATTATTTTCATGTTGTAAGTATATATTTATTTTTAGAAACTAAGGTGACTAAGGGGTTCAGCTCTTACTGTAGTGTAAACCTTTTGCATGGCCGGTACAGGCTTGGAAAAAATGCACTAACTTTAAAAAACTTACATAAAAAAATATTTCCAGTCTACAACATGACCAAGTACTACCTTGCATTAGTACTTGTGAGGGTGGTCCTGCCAGCAGCCCTGCTACTGAGTAAGTGTTACATACACATAATCCAAAAATTAACATTATAAAAAAAATGACTTGTTCAGTTAGCTTAACACTAAAATTATTGGTCAGTTCAATGAGGTGTTATATTTATAGTTATTATGTACTTCCCTTTCTGAGTTTATCAATTAATTGACTGATGATATAACATGTAAATATTTATATTACTTAATTTTTATAATATTGATATAGCACTTCACATTCTTATATTGGAGGCTTTTATTATGTCTATATCTGTCACATTTATTCTTTAGGTTAATCAAATATTAATAAGAAAATTGCTAGTCAACAGAGCTAAATACCATTATTAAGAAAAACATGTACAATGTAATGATATATTTAAAGGATTTTAACAGTGTTTTATCTACTACCATCTCTTGCCTGTGCCTTGTCTGCCATAGAAATAATTTATCCATTCCAAAGGAACTTCTTTTTATCTAAAGCTCTCTCCTTAGCAATGTGTAAGCAAAATTTCATTATTATGGAATTAAATTATCATTCAGAGAAGGTTATGTTGATTTTTGTATAATGTTTATTAGATTATCAATTAGAGCTTTTTTCTTTCCGATTCTGTTTAAGTATGTAGTTATTCTTTAATGTCCATACACAAATAGTTCTTCCTGCCTCCGAGCCTTCTTTCCCAAACTATGTTAGGGTCCGCTTTAAGTCTACTACAATACGACTGAACTTCGATTTTTAACGCGAAGCGACTGCCATTAGACCTTCACAGCCTAAGTACCAAGTACTAGGCGATGTCGAATTTCTGTACAAACTGACTGTTGTTGCAATTTTTAGGGCTCCAACTATAACTATTTTACTTCCGAACAAATTGTTATTTTATGATTATTCTTTAGGTTTATTTGGTTGCCATAAAGGAAGGGTTTGAAGTATACGGTCTGTTTTATTATTATAATGCTATCAAAAAAACAGGACGTGTGACGCAATACGCCGGAACAGACGACGGCGCACCGAACGTCGCGTCTTGCCGTAGCTTTTTTATATTGAATGTTTTGATTCACTTTTCTTCCAAAATAAATCTTACTTCATCACTGCGCTCGTTAAACCGTTATTCGGGTGTGACGCATAGTATTGTTGGAACATTTATTAAACGCTAGTTTGCCGTTAATTATGCGACTTTTATACTACAAGATATTTTATTTAGCTCTTGTTTTAATAAATCCTGCAATCCTAAAGTAACTATTAAGGCACTCATAGTCGCATTGCGGGAAGGAGTAACGTACTTAAAGTCTCCCTCGCATTGGGCGCGCCGCACCGGCTTGTTCTGGGTGCGTCCTCACAATTCGTAAGCTGACCCGTTGACCGACTTGCCGTTGCTGTTTTAATGAGCCCTTTATTAGTTATACTTAAATTTTGTGACACCCTTGATGTCGAGACTAATCATTTCGTTATTCCAAGGAGCCAGAATCATAGCGCAAAGTCAGCTTAATCCAAGCTTCTCAATAAGCTTCTCTAAGGTTTCTGTTAATTGCCTCAGAATTAAAGTAAGTAAGCCAGTTTTGAGTTCTTTGCGGTGTCACGAATGTTAATATTAGCGTTAGTGGTTCAAATGCCCTCTGAACATTCTTTCCAGATTAAGTAAAATGGGAGGAGTGGTATGATAAAAAGCATGTCCTAGTGTTTTAATAGTTACTAATCCATCTACAATTTCGTTAAACGTTGTGTATTAATCTGATTTCGAGGGTATCGATACTTAGGAAGTAAAAATGAACGCTTTAAAAGCACACATTTAAGCTTACTCAACTATAAAACTATTAGCAGATCAGTGCCATCATTAAAAGATCTTACAGTTTCAAATCCTCTAGAGGTTAACCATCCCCAAATAATTTCCTATTGCGCTCCAGTGATGGTGTAATAAATCCGTTATCAGAAATACATATAATTAATTTAAAATGTTTTAAATGTTTATTATTTATTTATTCTTTAGGGGGCAAACGAGTAGAGAGGTCACTACCGCTGAATGCCTGCAACTCAGGAGTCAAAAGCGTTGCGTCTTCATGGTGAGAGTACGCTCTTCTCTTGAAGGTTTAAAGATCATTTCCTCCGGAAATGATCTCCACAGTTTGTTTTACACATTAGTTTTTCGAGGCAAAAAGTTTCATGAAAAGCGCACTGTGGTGAAGTGATGGGATAAATGTTTTACCGTGTGAAATGTTGACAGAAAGCTGCGGCCGGTATTAGTCCGCACAATTCTTCGCAGCACTCAACATGATATATGCGATAGAGTAGCCGGAGGAAATAGCTAGTAGTATATATCGAAAGAACTTAAGACTTGTCGTTTTACCATAATTAGTAGGTAATTTTATTTCAGCTAGTGACTGTCTCCTATTGAATGGATTATTAAATAAAGGAACTTGCCACGCACGTCAGAATGTGGACACCAGTCATCACTCAAGAATCTATCCACCGTTGTTCTCAACATTCCTTATTTAAAATTACTTTTATGAATTTTTAATCTTGTCTATTCTATGCGGTCATAAGCTAGTATATTATAAATGTAGAAGTGTGTTTGTTTATTTGTTACGCTTTCACGCCTAAATCTCTGAACCGATTTTAAATTTTTTTTCATCAATGGAAAGCTACATAATCAGTAAGTAACATAGGGTACTTTTTACCACGATAACGAAAATACACGCGGGCGGGGCCGCGGGCGTAAGCTATTAAAATATATAGTTAAAATTCGTATTCCTCGTTATACATGTTTGTTTGACTACGCAATGTCACGTAAAAGTAGCTATGTAAAAAGCAAATGCGTGCCATAGTGGTATAGAATCTCCGTCCTAGCTGACCCTAATTCCCATACGGCCTATAAACCGGCTAAAGTAGAGCATTTCGTGTCCGACCCTCTGTTTGCACCTCCGTCTATTATATCCGATTTGCTCGTACCGAACACGTAGTTTCCCTAAAAATTCAGTGATAATACTTAACTGAAGGTCGTCGAAAGTATTAAATGGTACTGGTTTGAAAGTTACTTGCGCAAGAGTAACTCTGTATTCATATTGTCATATCACTTACAATTCGCTAAAACTGCTTAGAATACTATATTATAACATTTCAACATTAATTCATTTTTCGCTTAGATTTGCACAATTGACACGAGATAGTATTCTACAAATTTCTAAATTCTAGTTCGAGCTAGACTTTTAACATTTTTCTTTAAATCTCTCCCATTGCACGCCACTTAAATCGATTTTGGGCTTCTCACATCCAGCTCTTGCCAGCCATCTTGCGCAAATCGTCACTCCACCTGGCCTGTATATACGTTTGCCGAGACGCGGTCTCCACTTAAGAACTCGTTTTCCCCAACGGTTGCCGGTTCTGCGGCTAATATGGCCAGCCCACTGCCATTTCAGCTTGCTTATCTGGTAGGATATGTCGGTGACCTTGGTTATCTGCCGGATCACCTCATTCTTGATGCGATCCCTTAGAGAAACGCCGAGGATAGCACGTTGAGCGACTTTGAACTTGTCTGGAAAATAGTTTTGTGATACTCGTGTGACTCTTCTGACACACTCACGTATGACGTATCTACTGTATCTATATCAACTGAAGAGTTTATCACTTACTAAGAACATTCGATATAAGTTACCTTAATGTAATGATTACTAAAAAAAAAAGTCCTGTTTTTAGTTTAGATAATTAAATGATTCTTCGACTAATTTAAAATGATTTAAAAAAATTAATACTTGTGTAAATTATTGAATAAAAATAACTTAAATATACGAAAATATACCTACAATAATAGAAAAGAGGGTTATATGAATCCATGTTTAACATTACGCGCAAGGTTAATTTACATTGTACACATCAGAGAATATCGTGAGCTCGTAATGTTTGTACACCTAATGGGCCACACCTGCCTTCACGAAATGCCATTAATTAAACCTCTTTCCCCTTCGTGAGTCTACCCCTTATAAAAGAAGATGAGGCGTGATGAACTATCGTTACCGAACACAATACGTAATAGTAGTTTATGAACACTTCTCATTTTCTAATATGTAATACGTAGGTGGTAAAACACCATATGAATACTATAAAAATGATAAAGCACGATTATTCGTTGTTAAACATGCCAGGCGGCCTAGTATTGACCTTTATTCTTCAAATGAACTCATTGAACTTGTATGATCTAATAATATTCATCAACATAATTAAATTGGACAGATGACGTGTAGGAGCATCCGTTTTTAAATACTAATATCTTTACTTTGTTTGTAGACTATAAAATAGAGGTATCCTGAGATGTAGTGACGGATTAAGAATACGGAGTGTCACCACCTCTATTTAACCCGTGGGTGTCGTAAGATCCGGATAAAGGACGAAACTTTGCAGGACAATGGCACTGCAAAGAGCGTTCTCTTTGCAGGGCCATTGTCCTGCAAAGTTGAAACAAACCCAAACGGAAAACTTGAAACAAAACCTATGCCAACCAGTCTGGCCAGCGTGCTATAGTAGGCCAAAACCTTTCTAAGGAGAGCCCTATGCCCAGCAGTGGACTATTAAAGGCTTTTGATGATGATGATGAAGGTCGTCGAATCAGCGTTATGGTGATAATAATTCAATTTCAATAACGTTTTAGTATACTTTTCGAGATACCTAGGAAGGGCGATAGAATAGATGAATAATATTCGGGAAACAAAAAATAAGTATTCTTTTAGTTGATACATAGTACGGTGAACACGCCCTATAAAATACAATTTACAAATACCAAGCACAACACATGCCACTTACGTATATTAAAATAAAATCTAATTCCATGAAACAACACAATCTATTCAGAACATATTAGAATAATGGGTGGCAAGTTCTTTTTAATCAAAAACACTAGTGAATTATTCACTGAGAATCTGACGTATATTTTTCCATGTGGAAATTTTTAATAAAGGCTGGCCGAACCCTGTCCCGTTGAAATTGCTCTACGGTAAACAATTAGTACGTGATAGTCAATGTCTACTCATATATAATTT